GTCACAGCAGGCAGGCACGGGGACGACCTGCGCTCCACCAAGCAGGAGATCGCTGAGATCAACCGCATGATCCAGAGGCTGAGATCTGAGATCGACCACGTGAAGAAGCAGGTAGGAGAGAGGGAGAAACCCAGAGCCTGGTGCCCACTGTTTCCTGTCTTCCAGAACAAAGGAACCCTCCAAACAAAGACCTGGGGCTCCCCCTCTCCCGAGAAACACACCGGAAGACAGTTTTTCTTGCTCTCTCTGCCCAGTGCGCCAGCCTGCAGGCTGCCATTGCTGATGCCGAGCAGCGTGGGGAGATGGCCCTCAAGGATGCCAGGGGCAAGCTGGAAGGGCTGGAGGACGCGCTGCAGAAGGCCAAGCAGGACATGGCCAGGCTGCTGAAGGAGTACCAGGAGCTCATGAATGTCAAGCTGGCCCTGGATGTGGAGATCGCCACCTACAGGAAGCTGCTGGAGGGCGAGGAGTGCAGGTGGGTGACAGTGTCCTGGGGACACCTCCAAGGGGCCAGGCTCTGAGCTCCAGGGGAGGGAGGACTAGCTTGGCCACAGTGGCTCCCTTCAGAAATCCTTGGCAGGGGACTTCCGGGAAGTGTCACCAGAATGAGGGTCCCCATGGAGACCGAGGCGATGGCTCCAGATTCTCACCTGCTGTGTTCCCTCCTAGGTTGAATGGTGAAGGCGTTGGACCAGTCAACATCTGTAAGTCCCCCGCTTGCCCGCCTCCCCTCCCCTGCCCGTGGCACTGCCTCAGCCTGACACACTGAGCTCACCATGTCTGCCGTCTCCCCTCTCACAGCTGTGGTGCAGTCCACTGTGTCCAGCGGCTATGGCAGTGCAGGAGGCGCCAGCAGCAGCATAGGCCTGGGAGGAGGCAGCAGCTACTCCTACAGCAGCAGCCAAGGCCTTGGAGGTGGCTTCAGTTCTGGCAGTGGCGTCAGCCGTGGCCTCAGCTCCTCGGGTGGCAGCTCCTCCACCATCAAGTACACCACCACCTCGTCCAGCAGGAAGAGCTACAGGCACTGAAGCCCCTCACCCCAGATCCCTGCCGAGAGCCCTGTGCTCAGGTGCTATTCCTGCTGGTCTCCCAGCTCTGCTCTCTGGCTGGGGCTGAGGAGGCTGAGCCCTGCTGCTCCTCTCTCTGCTCCCCTCAGGTCCCCTCTGTTCCTCTTCTCATTGCCATCCTCTGATTCAGGTCCTTGCTCACTCACATGAGCTGCTTCCAGTTGTCTTAGGTCACCGGGCTCCTGCCTCCCAGCTCTGCCTCTGAGGCTGCCTGGGAAAGGGTATCTCTGTCCCTTTCCCTCTGGAAGTCTTTGTCTGGGTCCTGCTCACACCCAGAGGAGCTCCCCTTCAGTGTCCAGTGGCCTGAGAAATGCCATCTTTCACCATCATGCACCTTCCTGGCAGTAACTATGTAGCACAGGTCAATAGTCCTGTGCTGAACAGAGTCTGTGTCCTGTAATGTCTCCTCTGCTCTTTGCTTTCCTCAAGTTGCTAATAAAGCAGGTTTATAAATAATGACGGTGTCCATGTATCTTTTTGTCTGTAGCCTTGCTAGACAAGGTGCATCTAGGATCTCCTTACTGCTACCTCTCCAGCTGTGTGTGTCTTCATTTGCTGGAATTCTGTAGTTTAAATGGAAACTCCTGCATTTATTTTAATACATTTTAATTAAGTATAATTTCATCACTTTCTTTTTATTTTCTACCCTCTGGCCCTTCCCAGCTACCCTTACTCCAAACCCTTACCTGATGCTTCAATCTTCAACTGGTAGCCTTTGGGGGGGGGGGGCTATATTTCTTTTATTTTCATGTAAATAATTTTGAATGCACCTGTTTCCCATGTGTTTCACTGTGATTCTTTAGAGTTAGTCATCAAATGTCACTTCAGTGTTCCTTTTCCCATGAATTTGCTTCCTGTGAGTGAGAACAAGCAGCTGCAGGCTATTAGCGTCTACTTGGTTTTAACAGGCCTGACTAGGAAGTATTGGTGAGGTCCCTCTGATGGGATTGTCAGCAGAGCAGATTGCTCAGCTGAAGTATCTGGGTGGAAAAACAGTCTTGCCCAGTCATAGCAAGAACCTTTTGACAAGAGAACAAAGTATTTGTTCTAGAATTACAGTTGCATTCATGTCCAAGAAACTTGCCTGACAATCAGGGACCGAGCAGTGAACATTGTTTCCTTCTGAACTGGCAATGTGCTGTGAAGAAATAGCACACACACAGCACAGTGTTCGGGAAGGGTCACGCCTCCCACCTATACCACCTGCAACTGGCAAGTACTGGAGACATTCAAGCTGGCCAAGCAAAGGAACCCAAGACTCATTCAGAACCTGAAATTCTCATGTTGAGTTATGTAACTCCTCCTTCTACCTTTAACCCAGCATGAATACTCCAAGGCTTATGGTTTGCATGGAGCTGACTAGGAATGATGGTCTCACTCCTGTCTGTCCTGTCCTGAGTTGACTTTATGAGAAAGCACGGCACGTCAGCATGAGTTGGTCAATCAGTTGGTTCCTTTGGGGGTACTTCAGCCCGTTGTCCCCTCAAATAATCACCATAATCCTGACCTTTAACAAATGGAGACATTTCCCTGGGTTTTGGGGCTGCTTCTGGATCCTTCTGCATAATTCTCTGTCACGTTCAATGTTCACTGCTCTCCAGACAACAGCGGAACATTGACATCCTGGTTTCTCTTCCCTGCTGCCCAGAGGTCTAGAGCAAGAAGTAAGATGAAGACTAATTTCTGTAACAAAAGTTCCCTCATAACATATTGGCACATCGAGGAGACAGCAGAACAGAAGATAACTAGAGGACAAAATCATGGGAAACAGCAAAGCAAGATCTTTTAGAAAAGGGTTTAAAGGAGATTCAAATAGTGCAGTACGTGGGCATTACAGGTGCGATGCGTGAACACCATTATCTGCCTATGCGCGAGCACTGGTGCTCAGGTCTGCACCTCGCGAGAAGGTGGATTGGTCTGGTGACCCACGTGGAATTCCAGTCCTCTGGAAATACAGAGAGGGGACATGTCCAGGCAATCTCCTAGAAAAACTAGCCTAACGCATGAGGTCTGGATTCAGTGACAGAACCTGCCTCAGTAAACAAGGGGAAAAATAACAGAAGCAGCAACCTCCTTGATGATCACACACGCACATACGTGACCACATGTCCACACGTGTGCCACTTCCTGAGACACACACGCGCCCACATTCACATATGCATGCGAATGTCCCTCGTTATTATTTCAAGCTTCTCAGCTGTGGGGAGACTAAAAGCTGCTTCATATCCCACAGTTGGGATTAAAACAAAAACCTGTTTACGTGACATAACTGAGTTTTAAGGGAACCAGAGCCTCCATACATGTACACCTTTATGTTTGAAAAAAAAAAAGCTCTTTTTTTGTAACATGAATAAACTATATATAATAACAATAACTATAAGAATTGTCAGGTAAGAATTACATTTACACTGTCCAGTCCATTTCTGTCTGGCACTCTTCCAAAAAGATTCCCATGTCCATCCTGTCCTGGTGAGTCCAAAGTTCTGCATCTGAATCACTTTCTTGGAACTTGCACTTATCAACCTAGAAAAGCCTTTTTACACCGAAAACATTGTCCTAGTTACTCAACAACTAAAGCGTTTGTCTTTAATTTTTAATAAGGCACAGTATAACACTCTAACTATGTAGTCTTCAACCCCATCAGAGACTTGAGAAGGAACTAAGATTACCTAAGTTCGTAAGAGGTGTAGAGCAAGCAACACCCACAACTACAGAAATGACAGAGACAGCTGGTTGCCTGCACAGTCACCAGAGGTTTCCCTGCGTCATTGGGCATACAGTCTTCAGCCTGGCAGCCCAGAATACCTGACAGACTTTTCTGTGAAGCAGGGATTTTGAAAGACGGCCTACCTAGTCTCTGAAAAATTGGACAGTCAATTCCCCAGTGTCCTGCTTGTCAACAGTTTGGACAGCCTGCAGGCAGCAGTAAGGACAGTTTTCTGTCCAGTAGCCACTTGATTGATTCTCACCATCTTCTTAGAAGTAGATTAGGGGTACTGCCAGGAGCAGACATGTCTCTCTGTCAGGAATGCCTTTTATTGTTAAGACACCTTTAAATGCCATGTTTGTTAGACCTCTGTAGTGGTTGAACACCATCTGTGTGTCGCAGTATATCTACGCAAACATTGCTTGTTTCTACTTGCATATTACCTGCTTAACCTTACAAACAGACACAAGAGACCAGAAATGTTTATTCTGGGATTAACTAAACTAGTATCCAGCAAGATTACATGCAAGCTTAGCTTTCATAAGACCAGACCTTTACATATAATAAATTAAATGAGAATTACAATACTTAAGTAAGAGTTGAAGAAAATAGCCTTAGATTTCTGTCACTCTACAATAATCCAGCTAATGTATAATATTTATGACTAATAGATTCAACAATCCATCTTTCATCCTGTCATCTTATATCCACCCTCTTTTCACACCCATTTCCCTTCTTCCTCTAACACTAACAAGAAAGAAAGGGTAGAAGGGAGAAAGGAGGAGATCCCTGATTCTAACTTTACTTTGTTTCCTCCAGGACCATGGACAATAACAACTTATGACCACCTCCCTCCACAACAACGTACATAAAAATCTCAAAGGCTGAAAACAACCATTCCATCTCTTGGGAAGGGGGAATCGTGTTCTTGTATTGCCTCTTGCTTATTTTGTCTGACTTATAACCTGCCATTTCCATCAGCATAAAATGTAGTTACCTCAGAAATTGGTGTTCCCTTCAAAATGTGGAACAATCCAACTAGTTCTTTTTATAAACTGTAAACGTTTGCTTTTAAGATATTTCTTTTTTATTTCTTCCAAGTATTTACTGCAAGCTCTTTGCCAATATTCATTGATTACCCCCATGACATAATCTCAATATTAATAAGAGGCACAAATATTTTCTCTGGGTGTTCCTGACAAATGATGTAGTCTTATCCTATCTTTTGTAAATAATTCAGAAACATTTTCTAGTTATGTTTTCAATTTTTTACTTTCTTTATGTGCTTGGATTCAGTCTATAATACTCTCTTCCTTTTGTGAAGGAGGTGAAGGCAAAATAACCAATATACAATAAAGTTTAGCATCAATTATATCCAGAAATGCATCTTGTATTCTGTGTTTTAACAGAGTTAACTCCTTTTCTGCTTCAGCTGTTGGCTATCTTGTGCTGTTTAAATCTGAATCTCCTTGTAATCTTTGAGACAAATGACTTAACTCAAATGTAGTTAATCCAATTTTAGGCCTGAGCCAGTTAACATCTTTCATTAATTTTTAAAAATCAAAAATTATGCACCTGATCTCTATGGATCTGTACCTTTTCAAGTTGAATTTTTTTGTTGATGAATTTTATAACCCAAATAGCTGATAGATTCTCCTCATTGTTTTTTTTTTTTTTCTTTTTTTCCCAGAGCAATGTGTAACCCCCAGCATGGCAGAATTCTTTGGGTTTCATTAAACATTTTCTCTAAAATATTTACATCAGAATCACCAACAAAATATCATCCATGTAATGATAAATAACACATTGAGGAAATTCTTACAAATTATCTCTAGTGGTTGAGCACAAAATATTGACATACAGTTGGACTATTTAACATTCCTTGTGGTAAAACTTTCCAATGGCATCTCTTTATGGGACCACTGTTGTTAAAAGTAGGTACTGAGAAAGCAAACCTTTCCCTGTCATACTCATGCAAGGGAACTGTGAAAAAACAATCTTTTAAATTTAATATTATCGTCTATGACCTAGGTAACAAAGAAGGTCAAGGACTTCCAGGCGGTAAATTACTCTATTCACTGCTCTTAAAGCTATCATCATCCTTCATTTTGCTCATTGCTTATTTTTACAACAAACACAGGGAAATTCCACGGACCGGTAGACTCTTCTATATGATGAAGCTCCAGCTGCTCCTGTGCCAGTTGTTCAAGGTCCTACAAGAATTCTTTTGTAACATGTCCCTGCTTTTGTCACACAGGTCTGTTTTATATCTGTTTTCTCATGGGCTGTTGGTATTTCAGCAGTGGCCCCCCTTATACATTTGAAAACTGAATCCCTGTGGTATCCTGTGTTTGGACAATGGGCACAGCTTGTGATTGTCTTTGGTTACACATATCAATAACTTCCTTAAGAGCATCTACCATTTCACCCCTTATTCTCTCCTACCTGGTGTTGGGGTGTTTAGAGGGATTGGGTTATAGTGGGGGGAGGGGATGTAAGAAATGAAAGTAAAAGAGTTTTTTAAAAAAGTATACCAGCAGAGATTTACAGCTAGAAGGCTATAAAATTCCATTGGAGCTGTCAAATGGCCAATAAACAGGACGATGGGCCATGTTTTCAGGTTATTGAACAGTATTAAGATGCTAACCTCTCTAGCTGTGTTCAGTACCATATAATATAATATAATAATATAATATAATATAATATAATATAATATAATATAATATAAT